GAGGCAGCTGATCGATGATTCTCTCTCATCGATGTTTCTAACTCTCTATCCCTCTCTCTTCCTCCCTGTAAAAAAAACAATAAAATATATATTTTTTTAAAAAGAATTTCTTAATCTCAGGTCAATTTATATTTAGCCACCTGAGCTTCTTAAGTATTGAGGCAAGTACAAATAAGGTAGTTTTTTGTTTAGCAAGAGGAATTTCAGAAAAACTTCATCAGATTCAGGAAAATAGAGACATACTTGCTAGAATGCTACACATGATGGTTATCAGGCCAAATAACAGAGGTTCTACTATTGTTGGACTAATGACTAGATTCGAAAAAATTCTGAAAGTCTGTGGACCCTACAAGCAGAATAGTTTCTGGTTTCTCTGGATACAAGGCAATTAACTCAGTGCTTTCATGGAAACCTAAGATAAATGCCTGGTAATAAAAGTGCATGGCATATAAGTGCTTTTAAGCAAACTGATATATCTTCATTTTAATTTTTAAATAGCACCCAAATTATACTGTGCCCAATGCTACCTATTTGTTTCAAAACAACACACACCAGAACCATTTGATATAAGGACTTTGAACAAGCCAGTGAGAACTGATACTGATGAATAGGCCTTTCAATAAATAAAGGAAAAAATACATTACCATAAATACCAGATATTTTCATCTGAAAGGAAGAAAAATGTCCTTTTTGACGTATAGAACCAACTAAAGACTCAAAAACTATAACTTTGGGCTTTCAGAAGAAGGCAGCATGAGTTTCCCTGGTCTCTCTCCCTTGAAGTTGCAACAAATTGAACAGTATAATTCAAGAAAGAATTCTCTGCTGGACACACCAATATGGCTGAGCTGCAGACATCAAAACATCTGAAGGTGGGCAAATTAGAATGAACCAGGGAAGGAAAAGAAGAGGAGCAGAGATGGGTGCTACAGACATGGCCCAGAGCTCATTGTGAGTCTTTAGAGAGGGGACAAATCCCTGAGGAGCAGGCAGGTACAGGGAGCAATCCTGCCTGGAGTGGTCCATATGTGCTGGGCTGAGGCCAATGTCAGGGTTGGGGTGGAGAGGCTGGGGGAGAACAGCGAGATGGAGTTCAGAGGTGTGGCTGCGGTTGTCTAGTAGCTGCCATTGTCAGGCAGAAAAACAAGGCCATGGGGCCTGGCACTTCTCCTCACCCTCTCCCAGCTCACAGAGGGCCCCAGAAGATGCTGTAGCACCCAGCGAGGATCTGCAGCCCAGAGAGCTGGGGAGGCAGAAGCATGCTGTTTCTAATCCCAGCGACAAGGATGGAGATACAGTGGTGAGGCAGTTAAGGTCTGGCTGTAGCCAATATTGAAAGGAGAACAAAGCCGCAAAGGCACCAGCTGGTTCTCCCAGCTCAGCCTGTCCCACCCATGGCACTGCAGGGCCAGCAGTGTCAGGTGGGGTAGCACTAGAATTTCTAGGGCTCAGCAACTCATCCACCACATCTCCCCATGGGGTTGGTGCCCTGAAGTGACTTGGTTACCAAAGAGACAGTCACCTCCCCAGGGAAATCAGACCATTTTCCACTGCCCCTGCAGAGAGATCCAAGAAGCCAGATCAATGCAAGAGAAACAAAAAAGACTTATGCTTTAGCGCCACCTACTGAGAAACAAAAGAAAGACTTCTTGACCTCCTAAATAGAGAAATGCTGCTCTCTTAAAAAAACAAAAAAGCAAAACAAAATATATACTATATATCCCTATGTTCATTGCATCATTATTTATGGTGGCCAAGATGTGGAAACCACTAAAGTGTCCTTCAATAGATGGTTAGATAAAGAAGATGTGGTACATGTACACAATGGAATACTACTCGGCCATAAGAAAAGAGAAATAGTTTCATTTGTGTCAACGTGGATAGATCTTGAGAATGTTATGCTAAGCAACAGGAATCTGACAGAAAAAGTCAAGACTGTGGGATATAAAACTGAGAACAACAAATGATCAAGTAAGACAAACAAATAAAAACTCATAAACACAGACACCATTATGGTGATTACCAGAGGGCAATGGGGTAAGTGGGAGATAGTAAATGGTAAAAGGGGTCAAATACATGGTGATGGAAGAATTTATTTTGGGTGGTGAGCACACAATGCAATAAACGGGTGATAATTTTATTAACCAATATTATCCCAATAGATTTAATTTAAAAACCATTGCTTTATATATGTATATGTTGGATATATTGTTGTGCCAATAATGATATTTTAATCTTTATTAAATTGACAATATTTAAAATAGTTGGCAAAATTCCTCAGATCATTTTTATATACAATCTGATAATTGGTGAAGACTAGAACATAGCTTAATGTTTTGAGGCTCTTTTCACTGTATAGTCAGAGTATATGTTTAGGGAAAAGGTTAAAAAATCTCATCAGCAATTTGAGGGTGTGTCAAAATATAAAAATTATCATGGCTGTAAAAATTAGTTGCTTATAAAAAACAACTTTATTTTCCCTCTTAACAGAAATAATTAACTTAATAAAAAAATCAAAACCACAACATCCAGATATAAGTACCTAAACATTTCACTGAACATACTTTCAAACCCAAACACACACACACACACACACACACACACACACGATTTTACATAAATTAGGCCATGCACATAATGCTAGTTTGAAATATGTTCATTCTGCTCCTTTAAAAGTCCAGGTTATCTTTTCATTTCAATAAGTGCAAACTATATAATCATTTTTATGGATATAGAATATTATATCATAGAATGCTCCATAATTTATGTAACAAATCCCTATTGTACTATATTATTCTTGGTTATTGTCTTTTTTGATACAGTACACCTTGAAAAACATCCTGTACCAACCTGTTTACTTGCCCAATTCCTTCCTCAAGGTAAATTCCACAGTTAAATTATCTACAATTAAAAGTGCTGGCTGAGAGACTATGGATATTTTAAACTCAGACCTAACAGAAATTTGCCTAATGCTTGTTGAGAGCAATTTGCCAGTATTTATTAGGATTCTTAGAGGGGCCCTGGTGAGAGGGGTGGTCTGCTGAGCTGTGGCAGGCAGGGTGGCATAGTGAGGTCCAGAGGACAGTGTCCCTGTGATGAGAAAGGGGCTGCAGGACAACAGAGAGAAAAGGGTACGTGATGGGCCCAGGTCACAAAGGGCAGAAGAGTTAAAAGCACAGCCTCAGATAATTAAGCATAGGAGGAGAATTTGGTTTCCAGAAAAAAGTAACAGAGGGATTGGCAGCTGAGGTTGCTAAATCAAAGAGCAGAGCTTTATGCGAACCAGTGTGTCTGGCTTAAAAGGAAGTACTCCCGGAGTGAAAATGAATTCCTCATACCTGGACTTCCTCACACCCTGACATGTGGGAGGACTGGAGATCTGCAGATTCCCCCTCCCCTCACCCCTCAGGGGCACAGTCTGGTGCAGAAGCAGTCATCTCTAACCCTGCAAAGTCAGTAATCAGCACTCTCACCCTGTCCTCAGTCACTCAGAGACCAAAAAAAACCTGCAAAAGACCCCCCTTAGCCCACCTGCTAGAGAGAATGGGCAATAGGACGCTCTATGAGCTGCGATAAGAAAGTTGTGGAGGAGCCGTCTCAAGAGAGAGCCAACCATGGACAACCAACCATGTTTCATATCACATAACCAAAAGAGGCCCACAGTTGGGCATGTTTAGTACTCCCTGGATAAACTACAGGCACAGTTGGACAAGGAGGAGTATACCACATTTGAGTCTGCACCGACATTTGAGAATGACTTCATACAAAAGAGAAGTGATCAATGTGCACAACACTGACCAAATGGTGATGGTGGGCATCTGGATGTAAAAAACGTAAGTGAAGAAATGAAACTCTAGAATATACACATTTGTTACTTAATTCTGACAATACACTAGGGACTATGATGGCATTAGACCTTGGATGGTGAGCAATACATTCTCCTTACTTTTATGGAACTCACAGCCCAGCACATATTGGTAATAATTATGTAATGGTTAGGATAAATTCTCTTAAAGTCCTATAAACAGTTCATAGTAAGGTGAAGAAAATTTTTAAGTACTATATGTTGGTTTGATTATTCTATTTAGTTTTCCACAATAAATTAATATTGGAATTTGAGTGGATATCATCAAATTGTCCATAACATAGATATGAAAAATGTTATGGTTTCTTAGATACAATTGCTTCATATTTGTTGCAAAATAGGAAAGAATAGTTTTGAGATATAACACTGTTCTAGACAATTACTGTGAATTATTTCCTGTCCTGGACTATTTTTCTCCCCATGCTTTATGTAAGTACATAGGCATACCTTTGCTATTACACTGTTTTTTGTTTGTTTATAACATGCTTTTTCATTTTTATGTAGAAATATTTCATTGTAGTTTCAAATTTCTTAACTGTGTTTGACTTATTTTACTTTTTCTGAAATTCCCCTAAGGGCTTGTGGTCCATAGAATACAATAGGAATTTGAAGATGATACAATTGAATTAAAATTACTTAATGAAGAGCAAAATGGGTTCAAAATTATAGTCAATGTTTTATTGTTCGCCTCTCATTTTGGGGTTGTACTAATAATGCCACACATTATTCTACAACGGTCCTAAGAAAAAAAATCACTATGCTCTTATAGAGCCCTAGTATGTTTCTTTGTAAACCATTTTTTATTATTTTAATACAAATAATGACTTAATTTCAAATAGCATTTTAATAAATATTTATGGATCATAAATATTAAAATCTCATACGAGTAACTCCATTTTTCTGGAACTAGCAACATGACCAAAATAAAACAACCACATAAAATTATGTAAAATATGTGTTTGCATATGCATATATGTATAGCAAGTTATATAAATATATTACTGACCTTAACCAAAGAAAAATTACAAAGCGAGCAAGATACTAACTCTATTTCCAGAGGGAAAAAGGATTTACTTAAAAACATAGGCAACTGTTTTTTATGTCTTATTGTACCTTAAGAAAAGCAAACCATTACCTGTGCAAGAATAGGGAAGCCAAGGTTCCTACATCCATTGCAAGGTGTCAACGCTTCCCAGAGTCCTGAGGGCCCACAAGTGTTTTCATCATCATCTTCTTCTTCCACTTCTCCTGGTGACAAATTTATTGTAGATGAAGTTCTCTGAAATTAAATTTATATTAGACCAATGTATTATATCAATGTTATTTAGATATTTTAACATTAAATTTAAATTTTTATGGTGTATTGTAGCAAGCAAGTCAACTTAATTCTAGCCATAGTTATGTGACTGCACCATCCAACTCAGCCAAAAAAAAAAAAAAAAAAAAAAAAAATATATATATATATATATATATATATATATATATATATATATATTTCAATTTTAAGTTGAGAGTGAAAAAATTGGGTGGGAAAGACTGATAAGATACAAAGTTCGTAACAAAGAACAGGACATGAAAATGACCCAAGTAATAGCTGAATAGCAACAAATGAGAAAAATCTTATGATTTCTAAATGCAATCAGAAGAATAGTAGGCAAATACTTTTTTAAAACAGAAATTACTTTAAAAATCCCATTTTTTCACAATGTCACCAAAAACATAGTCTCCTTTAAAAAAAAATGATTTCTAACATGTTATATTATCAGATAAAGAAGGGTAGTACTTTTTAAACGAATCATAGGACTTCCATTTTGAACATGGTCTAAGCCATAAGGACAAGGACAAAAGGAGTCTGTTAAAAGCTGATGAGGAATCTCAAGAAAAGTTTTGGATAATAATAAACAGATGAGTAGATATTACCCAATTTAGGAAATTTGAGAAAACTGAAAGTCAAGTGCCTAGAAGAGGAGAAAATAAGAAGCAGGCCTGTTCATGCCTTAGCACCCTCCAAAGGGCTTAATGAATGGAGAGATTCACTGCTTCTGAATGTGTAGATGCCAAATGGGGCTAAAACAGAATGGACACTATATATTAGAAAAAGTTAGACCCCCTAGTTACACCCCCTCATCTAGCCAAGAAACTAAATCTTTACCACCTGACAAGGAATTGCAAATTTATTTTCGTGTTGAGGTTGAAGCAAAGGTATTATGAATTCTAAGAATCCATGCATATTGAGCAGAGAAGCCTCTCTCAAAAAAAGAACAAAAAAATTAAGTGAATACCTATGTAATAGATAAGGAATCCCACCCAACCCCAGTGCCTACCATATTTACCTTAGAGAATATGTCAGCTAGGGTTATAGTCCTCCAGACAGGAAAGTAGAATGTATTTCTCGCTATAAAAATTAACCTCCTAAGAGAAAAGATTTATCAGCACCTAGAAATATGGTGAGATCAGTGCTGTAAGGCCTGCTATGAAGGCCACATCTGGACAAACTCCACCCAGACAAACAGTTTCCAACTTTTTAGTTAAATTTGACCAAGAACCAAAAGCTCACTGCAAATTTAAAAGAAGTCTTTAACAGAGAACAAAATAAATATACAGAAACAATGTTATAGAAATAGAAGATATTTGTATTCCTGAACAAGAACAGAATACTGCTGAAACCGGTTTGGCTCAGTGGATAGAGCATTGGTCTGCAGACTGAAAGGTCCCAGATTCGATTCTGGTCAAGGGCATGTACATTGGTTGCAGGCACTTCCCCTATAGGGGGTGTACAGAAGGCAGCTGATTGATGTTTCTCTCTCATCGATGTTTCTAGCTCTCTATCCCTCTCCCTTCCTCTCTGTAAAAAAAAAATCAATAAAATATATTTTTAAAAGAACAGAATACTATCAAACAAATACATAAAATCCAACAGGGAAGTTGGAAAATAAGTGTTAGGACATTTCCCAGAACATAGAACAAAATGAAATAAGTTAAAAGCTAAGGTAAGTAGGGGGTCAAACTAAGAGATCCATGTGGAGTTGGTAGGAATTTATCAAAGAACTAAAGTGAGAAATTTTGCCAGAACTGAAGAAAAATTCCATATGCAAAGAACCTACTAAATGCTCAGCAAGGGGAGTTTTTTTTTTAGAAAAAAAGGAAGATAGTAAGTTTGCCTAAAAGTCTTTGGAAAGTATCATTCAGCACAATACTGATAGATCATGACTACTGAAGTTAGTAAAGATATTTTATATGTTGAATTGCAAATAGCACCCCCATACCTTCCAAATGTTACTTTTAAAAATCAGATATAAAGCTTTATAGGACAATTTTTGGCATTCACATCTTAAGTTTCCCTTAATCAACTTCCAATAATTAAGCAATTAGTCTTCCAATCATAAGTTACTGTCCATAAGATGCAAAAAGAATAACTATAATCTTTTGAGCACTATTATTCATTATTTTAATTCACACAACTACCCCTTGAAGTAAATACTAAACTAAGGCACAGAGAGGTCAGGTGAAACTCAAGGCCACAGAGCTGGAAAGTGGCAGAAAAAGAATTCCTACCCAACTTCCTGACTCTAAGCTTACCCTTACCCTTGTGTTGCATGGCCTCTCATTCAGCACAATGACCTGTGAAAGGCAGTATATTGAACAGCCAAGCTGATACAATAACAGTTTAAAGTGAAGAAGCATATTTGCTAATATATTTCTACTGTATGATGATATTCCCCAAAGTATTTTGTTATCTCTGACAGCCAGTGAAATTTTCTGCAGTCTGGCACATAGCCCCATACTTTGATAAGTACACATTTCTCAAATCAGTAATATAAGATGTTTATCACAGGGATTTTTGGTCCTACAGATCATCTGGGTGAAAATATTGGGGGATATCCAAAACCTTAATATCGCAAGAGCATCAGTATGATCAATGCTGTCTACAAAAATGAATAGAATGATCAAATAGGCATCTCCTTCACAAACTCACAATTGGTTTTACCATCAAGGTTGAGATGGCATGGCACTATAAGTTATTATATTCTTGACTAAGAATTATCAATATTTCATAGGCACATCCGTTCTTTTCTTCCAATGTCTCTTTCTCCTTCCCAAAGAAAAACTCTTTATGTATCTACTCTGTTCACACATCACCAATTATATCACATAATCTTAATAATCTCCAGCTTTCTTATCTTCAAGGTAGGCATTTTAATAATTCCTACTCAACAGGGGTTTATGAGGATAAAAATTAATTGCTTAACAGTGACTGGCAAGTAAACAATTATCAATAAATATTGTTATTTACATTATTATATTTATCTTATGTACATATACATAGCAGACATGTACAAGTATCCTACTCAATTGTAAGTTATCTAAAAGCAAACATTGTCTTATTCACACTTGTATCTCTTACCATGTGTTATATATAATGGATTTTAATAATTGTTGGATGAATTATTAAAAGACTGAATTTCAAACTATCATTCTCATTTGATTACCCAGAAATTTTTACCAATATTAACAGATGTACATAACTGCATCCCAATTCTTATTATTGTTATTTTAATTTCATTTAATGGTGGTCATTACCAATAGCATTAGCAAAAATAACTAAATTTATCAGTGGTTTAAGGTGGCTCCGTGGCGCAATGGATAGCGCATTGGACTTCTAAATTTATCAGTGGTTTAGTACTGCCCCCTAAAGACAGTATATAAATTAGCTGTTTAAAACCATAATTTTCCACTTCGCTGCTTTACAATTAAAGATGGCTAAGAAAGGTTTTACCAAACTAAACAATCTTCAATTATATGTGGGGGGAAAGCCCCATGAACATACAAACTCAAAGATTATTTCATTTCAAATGACCTAAGCTTTTTACCGACATCCAACTGTGTTCCTAAAGTTCTAAATGTCAGAAAATTCTTCCATAGAATATGAACCTAAATTTACATAAAATTTGAACCTATTAGATTTATTGGTTAATACATAGAGATTATGCAGAATAAATATTGGACCAGTTCTATACTGTTTCAAAGAATAAATATCATAATACATAAATACACTGTTTCCCCAAAAATAAGACAGTGTCTGATATTAATTTTTTCTCCCAAAATTGCGCTAGGTCTTATTTTCAGGGGATGTCTGATCTTTCCACTCGCTAGGTCTTATTTTCGGAGGATGTCTTATTTTCGGGAAAATGGTACTATGTGGAAACAAATTTAAGCTCAATCAAAGAAAAATACTTCTAGAATAGCTACCTTAGTCTAACATTGAAGATATTGGATTTCCTTATGAGGTGATATCTGAACGTAATATAAAAATGTTATTATATGAATATATATAATATTTTATTTAATTATTTTAACGTATTATAATAGTATATATATATATACACACATATATATATTTCACTTGCTCTCACTGTGTTCATCTCATATACAAACTAGTGTTGAATTCAGCACCTGCTTTATTTCATAACGAGAGCATTCACACCAATCATTAGTGAGCTACTTAGATTTCACCAAAACCTCTACAGTCGAGGAGAGTGGGCTTTAAATTGCACAACTGAACCCCTCCCCAAAATATTTTTCTCCTGGGAATGATGGCTGGGTAGAAGGGTGCTTTCACCTCCCCTTCCACCAAGAAGTGCCCAGGTTCCTTGGTATCTACTTTCTCGCACAGGTTTTTTTCCATTTGCTCTTCAAATTCCTCTAACCTTTATTATGCAGAGCAGTTTAACTCTAGTGGGCACCTTATCTCCAAACTTGCATAGCCAATCCCATTACACAGATGACCTTACATAAGCATTATTCATTTTTGTCCGTTTGAAAGGCAATGGCAAAAGAAGATACACTTGTGTTATTTTTTTATAATACATTATAAAACTGGAGTTATAAGAGCCTACTGGGCCACTGAGAGACAGGGAACATTGTAAGATGCTAAGGTGGTTTATTTATATCAAAACTATAACAGTGCCAATGATCAAACAGATACAGGTCAGTAATGTTTATTACTCCGGAGGAACACACTCACTTATCTTACATTCAGTCCTGAGAAAGAGATAGCAGTTTAATGCATTAGCCATGTTCAAACAATTTAGTGTCAAATGTGACATTTTTATCAGCTTAAAAACACTAAACATCTGTTCAAAATTTTCTGAAAATAATTCTGCAATGCTACCCTATGCTATCTTTTCACCACAGCCAATTCCTCTGGGTTACTGAAACTCACCAACCCTACAACGTGTAAGTTTTCTGAAAAACAAAATTTCTCTCGGAATCATTTGG